CCATGCTCAAGGTGCAGCGTAGGAGTTTTGAAGGGCTGCTAGATGTGGTGGTAGTTGGGGGTGATCATACAAATCTTATTGGACTCGATTGGTTCGAGGCCCTTGGGATTCAAGTGACTGGACTTCACAATTTGCAAACATCAGGCCTTGCAGAAGTTTGCAAGGAGTTTACTCATATGTTCAGTTCAGAGCTTGGCTCATACAAGTGGCCTCCTATTGCTTTACATTTAGACCCAGCCATCACACCCATCAGGATCAAGCCCCGAAGGGTGCCTTTTGCCCTAAAGAACAAAATAGATGCAGAGCTGGACAAGCTGCTCCAGCAGGGCATCTTAGAACCTGTGGACTCTAGTCCATGGGAAACCCCTATAGTCACGCCACTGAAGGCCAATGGAGAAGTCCAAATTTGTGCAGACTATAAATGTACACTAAATAAGGCATTGCAGCAGCATGCCTACCCAGTGCCTGTGGTGAGCCACATTCTGGCCTCACTCAAGGGGGGGCAAATCTTTGCAAAGCTTGATTTGGCTCAGGCCTATCAACAGCTACCTGTTGATGAGGCAATGGCTGAGGCCGAAACAATTGTGACGCACCGGGGAGCCTTTAAGGTAAAAAGTAACTGCAGTTTGGGGTTAATGTGGCCCCTGGAATATTCCAGAGTGTGATGGAGCAAACACTCTGTGGTATTCCTGGGGTCTGTCCCTACTTTGATGACGTCCTCATTGCTGGGGAGTCATCTGGGAACTTAGCTGAAAGGCTGAGGGCTGTCTTGCTGCGTTTCTGCCAAGCAGGGCTGAAGCTGAATGTGAGATTGGAGTTACCTCCACTGAATTTCTGGGGTTCCGTATTGATGCTGAAGGCATCCATCCTGCCGGATCCAAGCTCAAAGCAATTCAGTAGGCCCAAGTCCCAAGTCCAAAAGCGAACTTCAGGCTTTTCTGGGACTCTTAAACTTTTACTATGCATTTCTACCTCACAAGGCCGCAGTGGCTGACCCATTTCACCAGTTCTTGGATAAACAGGCTCCTTGGGAGTGGACACAAGTCCATGAAAAGAGCTTTTCAGAGGTCAAGGCCTTGCTTTCCTCAAATGCTGTATTAGCTCATTTCAGTGAGCAATTCCTGTATGCATAGCCTGTGATGCATTCCCTTATGGGATTGGGGCTTGCCTGAGCCACCTCAAGGCTGATGGGACACAAGTCCCTGTGGCCTACTACTCCAGAACTCTCTCATCTGCAGAGCGTAATTACGTGCAGATTGACAGAGAAGCCTTGGCAATAGTGGTTGGCATAAAGAAATTCCATGATTTCTTATATGGCTGACATTTCACAGTCTACACAGACCATAAGCCTCTGCTGGGATTGTTTACAACAACAAACAAACCCCTCATATAATATCCCTAGAATGCTGAGATGGTCAATTTTCCTGTCAGCATATGATTATACTCTGGTCTACAAACCAGGTAAAGAAATGGGCCATGCAGATGGCCTCAGCAGATTACCTCTAGAGGCAGATCCTGCTCCTGCTCTTCTCATTCTCTCAATTCAGGAATTGCCTGAATCTTCCCTCAATGCTAGGGACTTGGCTGCAGAAACTGCCACTCATCACACACTTACACGCGTGCTGACATGGGTGTTGTCGGATGGCCCGACATGTGTCCAAGCTCAGAATTCCAGAGTTTCTGGCAGAGGAAACACGAGCTTTCCACCTTCAAGGGGTGTGTCCTGTGGGAAAGCAGGGTAGTCATCCCAGCCTCATTGAGGACTAGAGTCTTGCAATCTTTACATGAAGGTCATCCCGGAATTGTCCGGATGAAGGCGCTTGTGCATAGCCATCTATAGTAGCCTGGGCTCGATAAAGAGATCGAGACCCAGGTTCATGGGTGCCAAGTGTGCCAACAGTCAAGGCCTGAAATGCCTCAGGCCTCTGTACATAGGTGGGAGGAGACACATACTCCATGGTTGAGGGTAAATATCGACTACCCTGGGTCCTTTCAGGGGCAATTCTTCCTTCTCCTTGTGGACAGCCATTCCAAGTGGCTAGAGGTTGTTCCTGTCTCCTCCACTACTACTGCTAGAACCATCCAGGTGCTGAGAGGAATCTTCACGTCACATGGTCTTCCAGACGTCCTTGTCTCCGACAATGGACCCCAATTCATGTCTTCTGAGTTTCAGGCTTTTCTTCAAGCCAACATGATCTGGCATGCCACATCTGCACCGTTCCACCCAGCTTCCAATGGCCAGGCTGAGCGTATGGTGCATACTATTGTGCATACTACTAAAGATGTTTTAAAGAGAATCACTCACGGCAACTGGCATCACAGGTTAGGTGACTTTCTTCTTTGCCACCGCATCATACCTTGTACTGCCACTGGGAAGAGCCCAGCTGAACTCTGCTGGGGTCGCAGACTTATTACCAAACTGGACAGGTCGCACCTAGACCGGGTGGCTTCACAGGTGTCACAGCCACGGGCACCTAGGAGACTACAGGTGGGCGTTCTGGTCTGGGCAAGAAACTATGGACCTGGACATCTCTGGGTGACCGCAAGTTTTCTGGGCCACTGTCATACAAAGTGGCCTTGGACGATGGTCATATGTTAAGGTGGCACATCAATCAACTACGCTGGAGGCTTCCCTGCAACACTTCCGCTCCTGGCTCTGCTCTGGGGGGGAGGAAGACCACGATTACAATTGTGGACCACAGTCTCTCCGTGAAAGTGGGGATACACTGGCTCCAGAAGGGGGTTCTGCTTATGAGGCGGCTCCTGACTCGGGCACTGGGTCTATGGATTTGGCCAGTCAAGCGGCACTACAGGCTTCTCCATCTGCTGGTCTTGGGTTCATGGGACAGTGCTTCCAAGAGGGGTCCATTGTGGACTCGGGGAATTCCACCCCACCAAGGAACTCTGGTCTGGGGTTACAGGCTCTGGTCAGTCAGTACGATGAAGGGTCACCGGATTCAAGGGGGCATCTACATCCTGGTCTGCCAAGCCTGGCAGGCGAGCTCACAGGCCAGGTGCCCACAACAGCTCTAAGAAGATCAGAGCAAGCAAGGGGTCCCCCCAAGCATTTACAAAACTATGTAAGGTTCTTGTCAATTCCAGGACAGGCCTAATAGTCTTGTGAAAATATAGAATGCATGTAAGGGTGGCTTAATAGTTCTCTTGAACTAAGTTAGGCACACTAAGAGTTGGGGTGTTTTGTTTGATAGTATTAAACAATGTGTGGTATTCTTGTAAATATGAGAAATGTCATGACTGGGTATGCCTGCATGCAGGCATCACTGTGTTAGAAATAACAACATGCTTAATTGAACACATGTGTATGTATGCTGCTATAAAAACAGTAAGTATTCACTTATTGTTTTATCCAAGGGGGAGGGGTATTATGTCTTAGGCCTGCTGAATGACTCAGCAGGCTCAGGAGGCTGCAGAAGACCTGGGCAGACCGTGTGGTTGCCTGGGACCAGATAGGCTGTCTCCAGCCTTGTGAGCATGTGCAAGGTGGGAGACTAGCCTTGTATTGATAGGCTGATGCTGTCCCTGCAAAGGGAGTATAAAAGGGCCAGCCCCATTTTGTTTGCTATTCTGTTCTGTTTGTGATCTCAATAAAGAAGTTGTGTTTTGTTACTCCTGCCTTGCTTCAATGTCTCTGATTCTAAAACAGAACACCAGGGTCATGTGATCACCTTTTGTGACTTTCTGACAAGCAAAGTCAATGGGGAAGCCAGATTCACTTAACAATTGTGTTATCAATTTAAACAACTGCAGTGATTCACTTAACATTTGTGGCCAGAAAGGTTGTAAAATGAGACAAAATTCACTTAACAACTGTCTCACTTAGCAACAGAAGTTGTGAGCTCAATTGTGGTCATAAGTCGAGGACTACCTGTACTAGAGAAGCACTAGCCACTCCCTCTAGTCTATACTCTTTCCCCTATTAATCTAATTCTTTGCTAACTACACAACTGAAAAGAAAAATGTGTATGTGCACATTTCTGTTCATCTACTCCCTTTGATTTGTTCTAGGCCCAGTAGCATTAATTTTTTTATTGGGTCAATTATCTTTTGAGCAGACTTATGCTTTTCCCCCCTAAATATTACTCTTTTATTTTAATTACTTCTCTTTCTAAATTATGGAAGCAAGTCTGCTACCTGATGATAACCCTATTCTGATGAGCATTTTTGCCTTCTTGCATCACCATCTCCTGCATCCAGTTTGCCTACAGTTTAGGCAACCATATTTGATTTATAGATCCATCTTTCTCCTTTAGCAAATACTCAAATAAAGTAATACAATATAAAATCCATAGAAAACCCTTCAACACACAAACTACTTCTGTCAGAATCACCAGCAAAGCAAATAGGTATGTCTGCAGATGTACACATACAAACACAACTTAGGAAAGCGTTGTGAAGCATTGCTTCCAGTTGCTTTGCATAGCCTAGTTGGTAATTATTACAGATTTATACAAGCTTCTTTGTATTGATTAGTACCAGAGAGTGATTAATCTTCCCAACACACCTTGGCAATAAATTTAATCTATTGTATCCCTGGGAGTGCCTGGTGGGAAGAAAACCCCATCTACTGTCTAGGGCAGTGATTCTCAATCTTTTTTTCATCACGGACCCCTTTAAATATCTTTTGTGGCCACAAACCATGGCCAGTGACCCACAAGACTTAAGATTTAAATCATAATATTTCTTCAAGCCTTCACAGACCCCGTCTGATGACATTGCGGCCCCCCAGGTAACTGCGGACCATAGGTTGAGAACCACTGAAGAGACAATAAGAGTCCCTTCATCCAATTATTTCTGGGATTTTTACCCTGTCTGTATGGGTATGTATGAAACCATGAAATAACACTCCTATATTCTTTAAATCAATAACAATCTGGCAATCTTTTCAAAATTTGAAATATTTGTTTTCCAATAGATGTCATTTTCTAGCTCAAAAATTGACATTAGTGTGGCAAGGGAATTTTCAATTTGTTGGCTCTTACCTTTATTTGGAACTCAAAGCATTCCCTTCCAACTTTACGAGAGCTTGGAGGAGGTTCCCATTGGATTCTATAATATAATGGTGATTTATAATCCACAGTAATATTTTGGGGAGGTTGAAGCTGTTCTGGAATGAAATAACCAGCATTATAAGTAGTTGAAGACTTAGGAAATCATGTCTATATGCACAGATACTGTATAAGCAATGAAATACTTTAAGAAGAGAAGAGATAAACAAAATGAGCACAGTCTCTTTAGCCCAAATTTGATAGGTATATTTGGTTTTCTTTTTTTAGTTCTTTCAGTCTCTAGATCAATGAAAATTAATATTTAAAAATGAAAGCCTTGTTACTTCTTACTTATTGCAAGTCAGAAGATGAATTACCATGTATGTTTTCTTCATAAAAGAATGCAAGACTATTTTTTAAAATGAAATGTTGGACCCTTACAGAAGGAATAATTCTGGGCATATCATATCTGGCCATCTTCATATTTCAATATATCTAGTATAAATGCTTCTATTATTATTAGTTATAAACATTCTCCCTTTTTTTCTCACCTTTTTTATAAAGTCGGAAATCATCAACATACGATTGAATTGGAGATTTTGTGCTTGATCCATTTACTGTAATATTCACACGATATTTATTTACTATCACATCAGGGAAGTAGCAACCAATGTGTCTTCTATGCATATTACTTATGTAATGTGGACACTCGTTATCTGTAGCCCTGTTTATACCAAACAAATTTTATTTAAGAACCAATCAAACACAATATACTTTCAAGAATATTTTTTTAGTTTATTAAATGAAAATGCATTACTTGTGGTAAGCTAAGTACATAAAATACTGGGTGTCTGAAGGAGCATTTGTGCCAGCATTCCAAGTACAATTCATAGTAGGATTCTTAAATATATATGAGCGAACAATACAGGAAAAGTTTTCAACAGATGTTCCATTCATACCTAGAAATGGGTAAAAATTGAGAAGTTAAATATTCAAGACAATGTTTTATCTTATATATAAGGATCAATATAAGCTTCAAGCCTTTCAGTCAACTCCATAAAAATCTGTCATTTTTAAAAAATAAAAGTTTTTATTTAGTTTTATAGGGTTAGGGAAGGGCTAGGACCAGGATAGGGATTAAGGTTTGGCGTAGGGTTAGAATCGGGATTGGGGTTAGGACGGGATTGGAAACAACATTGGGTTACCCCTGAATAACATTTTCAAGCTTTAGCAAGCAGATTATTGTTCGGGTACATATGTTCAATTAACACTGATTAATATAATGGTAAATAGCTGTAGTAAATATGATAAATGATAATCATGAACAGTATTGGTTGGTCAATACACATCATTCTTCTTACTAATATATATTCAAAATAACATATCACATTCATTTCTCACTAGTTCGTTTGGTAAAAAATTTCCCATGTTCTAAAATAAACTGAATCTTCTTTCACTTTGATCTCTAAGGTTAAGCTATCCATTTCTGCACATTCTAAAATTTTCTTAATTAAAATCTCTTCAGTTGGTAAATTTTCATTTTTCCAGTACTGGGCAAATACTATTCTCGCTGCTGTCAGTACATGCAATATTAAAATTCTCCTTCTCATATTTAGTTCTTAATATTCCTAACATAAACAGTTCTGGTTTGAATTCTATCTGTCTTTTAGTCATCTTTTCCAGCCATGTATGTATATATCTTAAGCCAGAACTTTTTCGCTTTAGGACATATCCACCAGATATGGTAGTAAGTGCCTGGCCTTTGTTTACATTTCCAACAATTATTCAAAGTATTTTTAAAAAAATTTGCTAGTCTTACTGGTGTCATATGCCATCTATAAAACATTTTATACAAATTTTCTTTATATGAGACTGCTTTAGTCAGTTTAATATTTCTATTCCATAGTCAGGTTTTCATCTGTTTTTAACAATATTTGGTCAAATTCTGTCTTTATAAAATCCCATTGTCTTTGCATCTTTTCCATGTCTCGTTTGAATTTGCAAATATGGCCACCATGCTAAGTCAATACCTTGTCGTTGTAGATCTTGTCTATCTTTCAATTTTCCTTCATTGTCCAAGTTATCTTTATAAGTGACGACTTTGTCATAGTTAATTAAATTTGGGTAAGCAAAAGCTTCCATTGTTGAAAGCCATTCAGGTAGTTTAATATAAATCTTCTGCTTTATTCTTTCCCATTTTAAAAGAAGTACATTCCTTATAAAGTGGTTTTGAAAGTATGTGTTTTATTTTTCCCATACCATAGGAAGACATGCCAACCAATTTGTAGGTCATGCCCCTCTAGGTACAATAGTCTTTTATTTCTCAGTGTTATCCATTCTTTAAGCCATAGTAAGATGGGTGCTTGATAGTATAGTCTCCAGTCTGGGAGTCCAAATCCTCCACTATCTTTAGCTTCTTGTAACATTTTCACTTTAATTCATGCTTTCTTTCCTTGCCAAATAAATTTCAATATTGTTGCATTTAGGTCATCAAAAAAGAACTTTCCCAATTTTACAGGAATCATTTGGAATAAGAAGAGTATTTTCGGTAAAGTATTCATTTTCACTGTGGCTGTTCTTTCCAACAGTGACAATTGAAGATTTTTCCACTTTTCCAAGTCCAATTTTATTTGTTTCAACAATCTTTCATAGTTGTCTTCTTTTAATGTTATACAGTGCTTTTTTTGTAAAAAAAAAAAAAAAGGTGCCGAAACTCACACATGTCATACAACCCGCCCTGCCTACCCTACAAGGTTCCATCCAAAAAAGGTGCCGGAACTCCGTTCTGGGGATTCTATGACAAAAAAAAAAGCCCTGATGTTATACATCTTGCTGTTAAGTAGATTCCTAAATACTTAACTTTTTTAACTATTTGTAAGTTTGTATTTTTTGTGAGTTGAGTTTTCTGTTTGTCTGTTAAGTTCTTTGTTAATACTTTAGTCTTTTCTCTATTTATTTTCAAACCTGCCACTTCTCCAAACTTTTCTATTTTCTCCAACAGTTTGGTAGCTGTTTCAAGTGGCTCCTCCAAGATAAAATCCAGGTCATCCGCAAAGGCTTGTAATTTATATTTTTGTTCTTTTATCTCCAATCCTTTAATTTCGGTGTCTTGTCTAATATTTCTAGTCAGTACCTCCAATATTAGTATAATTAACAGTGGGGATAGTGGACATCCCTGTCTTGTACCTTTTTTAATATCAAAGGTTTATGTATAATCTCCATTTAAAATTATTCTAGCCATTTGTTTGTGGTAAATTGTTTGAATTGCATTTATATAATTTTTCCCAAAGTCCATTTCTATCAGCTGCTGAAACATAAATTGCCAATTTAAATTGTCAAAAGCTTTTTGCGCATCAAGAAATATTAATGTCATCTGTTTCCCTGGGTGGTTTTCATAGTATTCTAAAACATCCAAAATCATTCTTATTTTTTATCTGTCTCTTAGGTAAAAAGCCATTTTGATCTGTATGTATGAATTCAGTCAAAAAATTCTTAATTCTTTTTGCCATGATTGAAGCAAAAAATTTATAATCCACATTTAATAACGATATTGGTATGTAGGTTTTTTTGTGTGTAAGGTCGGTATCTTCTTTGGCTATCAAAGTAATATTAGCTTCAGTCCACAACTTTGGTATTTTAGTCTCCAAAAAGATTTTGTTACACATTCTTTCAGTGTCAGACTTAATACATCTTGTAATGCTACATAAAATTCTGTGGCCCATCTGGACCCAGAGTCTTATCTTTCTTTTGTCTTTTTATAGCTTCTGTAATCTCCATCATTGATATTTTCCCATTTAGTATATTTCAAATATTCTCTGGGATTTTTGGCAAGTCTGTTTTTTTTTTAAGTATGTCTGTATTTTTTTCTTAAGGAGCTTCCTCTGCCTTATAAAGTATCTCATAGTAGTCTTTAATATTTTTTTTCATTGCATCATTATGGAACTGTAATTTTCCTTTTGAATCTTGTAGCTTATTTATCGTTCTTTTTTTTTTCTTTTTTCAATCTATATGCTAACCATCTCTCTGGCTTATTGGCATTTTCAAAAAAAATCTGTTTAGTCCGTTTAATCTGTTGTGCGATTATATCCATTTCTGCCAGGTTTAATGTATGTTTTATTATCTCCATTTGTTTCTTAAGGATTTTCTTTTGTGGGTCTATTTGTAACTCTAATTCCAATTTTTTAAGTTCTTCTCTCAGATTTAACTGTAATCGTTACTTTTCTTTATTATTTTTAGAGGTATAAGTTATAGCCTCTAAAATATGCTTTGGCCATGTCCCATACATTTTGAAGGGATGTTTCTTCTTTCTTGTTTATTTTAAAAAAATCCATTTCCTTTGTTGCTAGTTGTACAAATTCTTTTTCTTTCAATATGGATTTATTCAAAGACCATTTTAGTTTTTTCTTGGTTCCTTTCCAGGTCATTTTTATTGGGTTGTGTTCTGCCCAAACATTAGTTTCTATCGCCATCTCTTGTATCATCATTTTCAAGTCAAGGGATGTCCATATCATATCAATTCTAGACCAAGACTTATGTCTATTTGAATAGAATGTATATTGTAGTTTCTCCAGCACGATGACTGAAGAATCCACCAATGGGTTATTTCAGTCCTCCTGCCCAATCAGACTAAGTTGTCAAGTTGTCACGCCCTTCCTTGACTGGAACCTCCCAGTTTCATCGTAGTCTTTTGCCCATGAGGACGTGATAGCTTGACTCTCAGGTCTTTTGGATGGCAGGTTAGACTAGATTTTGTAAACCATTGGTGGATTCTTGTTGATTAGAGAATTACAACTCTGATTACTGGGGTTTCTGGCCCTTATTCCCTTTCTATCAGGGGAGGAAGTAGTATTCCTCTCCAGAAAAGGAGGGAGGGCGGCTTTCTTTCACCAAACTCAGCAGTCTACTGAGTTTTGTTCCCAATACCCCTTCTAGATAGGTGAGGGGGGTGTTTTTTTTCTTTAAATTAAGCAGAGGTTGAGTCTTTCTACTCCCATTGTGGAGGACAACAGTCTTTCTTGCGGCTGCCATTTTGAGGCCACATGGCCTTCCTTTCTGACGGGGGCCCGGTTGGAGGTCCATTCTAACGGCCGCCATTTTGAGTCCATTGGCCTTCAAATCATCGCCGAAGACCTTTCGGCCAGCAGACGGATGGCTTAGGATGCTCGGAGAGCGCTGCAGGGGACAAGTACTTTATTATTTTCCCATTGTTTCCTCTGGCTGCCGTTCAGAGAGAATGAAGCTTCATTTAAGGTCAGTGAGCTCAGTCACGGATAACAGCTGATAGGCGTGACTCGTTTACATCGATTTCAAAGCCTGGAAGGGTGAAGAATTGTAGTAGTTCCCTGCCTTAGATCAATCTAAGTTCTATTATAGGATCTCATCTCTCCTACCTCCACCCTGGTTTCATAGCATCCGCCATTTTGTGAGGCAGTTGGAAACGCCCGGTTTTGTCTCACTGTGTCAGATGCCATTTTGGGAGCACTGCTCATTCCTATTTGTTACATAGTTGCTCACACTTAAGTATATGTGTGTATATATATATATATATATATATATATATATATATATATATGTCAGAATCCAATTATATTTCATCTCTAGTTATCAATTATAAAAACCCCATTTCCGCCTTCTATGGATTCTGCCATACGAGGAAGGGAAGGGGGTGAACAAAGGGGCTTTATGGCCCTCACTTCCTTCGGTATACTTCAAAGGAACTGAATGTGTGTATTGCCAAAAGAGCATAAGAATGGGGCTATTGCCTTTCATGTAGTTTTCTTTGAAGTCTCCATCCAGCTGGCAGTAAAGAAAAGGGGTTAGGAATGCAATACCTGAGACTCGCTGAAAGAGGAAGGTGATTGGGAGGGGCTACTGGGGAACCCCTTAAAACCTTGAATGGGAGAGCTTGGACCCCAAGTCCTGTCTAGAACGCCTGCAACCATTTTCTCTTAATAAAGGA